AGTTCTTTTTATGCATTTGGAATCAAAGGCGTAACATAAGGAATAATGCATGAAATCCATTGGTAGGATAGGGTGGTGGGAGGAAGCAGTGAGGAAATCCCTATGATTGGATAAAAAGTAAAATGAGATACAGACCTCAGTTACATTGGTGGGTACAAGATTACATTTACAGTAAATAGGGATGGTATTCATGTAACAAGATAAAGTACTCTTTTGAGAGTGGCTTCCAAAGGGTCTAAAAGACAATATTATTCTGACATTTCTAAGACATGTTAACCTAGGTGTACAAAAACAATGGACAGGGCCTGCTTAAAGCCAAGACGAACCTTTTACTAAGGAAGTTACAGGCCTGAGGCCTGACTGCTCAACCATGACCTGCTCAGTTAAGAATTTACAATCAGCCCCTGCCAGTATGGCTCGGTTGGTTCAGTGTTGACCTGGGCCCATCTCAGGTCAATGTTTCTCTCTTTCTCTCTCCCTTCCTCTCTCTCTAAAAATCAATTTTAAAAAATCAATTTAAAAAAAAGAATTCATGAACACATCACCCTGTGAGGTCACTTTTGGTCACTGAATGTGACTAATTTACTACATAGTCCCTTTGTTCACAGGTTGAACAACGGAATGAAAGATGTCCATAGTATAGTATTTCATCTAAAATAGGAGTTTGTATTACTTGATAGCATTTTTGATCCTAAATATTATACTAATATCTTCTTGGTTGCTTCTTGTATATGCCTGACCTGGATTGAATCAGAAGGTGCTAGAAGGTGATAGGTACTGTACCCATTTGATTTTAGAGAGAGAGGAAGGGGTGGAGGAGGAGAAACGTAAATTTGTTGTTCCATTTATTTATGCACTCATTGGTTTCTTGTTTGTGCTCTGACTAGGGTTCAAACCTGTAACCTTGGCATATTGGGATGACATTGTAACCAACTAATTCCTGGCCAGGGCTCATTTGATTTTTAATATAACCCTATGCGTGCATTGATATTATCCACATGTTATAATAGATGTTAGATGAAACCAAGTCTTGGAGAGAGTAAGTCATTGCTCAAAGTTTATGCCTACCAAAGATGAAACTGAAGTTATCTATATTCCAAAGCCAGTGTAATTGGGTAGTAAATTGGGTCAAGAGGTACTAAAAATTATGCTTTTATTGGTTCGTCATTTTTCCACTGAATGTTTTAATGCTGACATGATTATAATGTAGAAAGGTTTAAAAATAGAAGCTTTGGGATATTCTGTAATTTGGGCTATCAAAGTTTAGTATTTCCAGCAAAACATTCTTATTTATCAACCTTCTATTTCACCTCAATCAAAATAATAAACAGAAAGAAGAGGAAGCATAAATGGTTTTTCATTACTTCTGCAATCCAAAAGAAAAGTCAAAAACTTAAAACAAAAAAGTTCAGAAAAAAATCCCCAATTTTCTACCCTTTCATTAAAGTAATAGAATTATTCATGTTCAAATGACTATTCCCCAATGTGCTTACAAAAAGGTTTGGTTGCCTGTTGGGTGCATTGCCTAGATCTTCAGTGTGCTCATGTGGGGGAAATGCAACCATATTATACCAGTACTAGAGGCCCAGTGCACAAAATTTGTTCATGGGAAGTTGTGTCCCTCAGCCCAGCCTGCACCCTCTCCAATCTGGGACCCCTCTAGTAGAATTGGACCTAAATTGGCAGTCAGACATTCCTCTCACAATCCAGGACTGCTGGTTCCCAACTGCTCAACTACCTGCCTTCCAGATTTCCCCTAACTGCTTCTGCCTGCCAGCCTGATCACCCCCTAACCACTTCCCTGCCAGCCTGATTGCCCCTAATTGCCCTCCCCTGCAGGCCTGGTCACACATACACACACACACACACACACACACACACACACACACACAACTCTCCCTGTAGGCCTGCCTTCCCCCCAACTGTCCTTCCCTGCAGGCCCAGTCATCCCAACTTCCCTCCTATGCTGGCCTGGTCACCCCTAACTGCCCTCCCCTGCAGGCCTGGTCACCCCCAACTGTCCTCCCTTGCTGGCCTGATCACCCACAACTGCTTTTCCTTGCTGGCCATCTTGTGGTGGCCATCTTGTGTTCACATGGGGCAGCCATCTTTGACCACATTGGGGCAGCTATCTTGTGTGTTGGAGTGATGGTTAATTTGCATATTACTCTTTTATTAGATAGGATAGAAGCCTGCTGCATGAGAGGAGGCCAGCTGGTTTGCCCTGAAGGGTGTCCCAGATCAGGGTGGGGTTCTCTTGGAAAATGGGGCAGGGGTGATGAGCCTGTGATGCTGACAACACCCCCCAGCAACCAAAGGAGAGGCCCTGGTATCTGGGATTTATTTATCTTATATAATTGAAACTTTGTAGCCTTGAGTGGAGGCCTGGGATGGCCCGGAAGCTTGGCTCCCTCCATTGCCAGGGAAACCCAAGCCTCCTGCTCGCTCTGTGGCTGCAACAATTTTGGTTGGGTTAATTTGCATATTCACTCCTGATTGGCTGGTGGGTGTGGTTTATGGGTATAGCAGATGTATGGTCAATTTGCATATTACTCTTTTATTAGATGGGATTATTATCTTGTATTCTTGGAAATTACTAGATTAAATACATTATTAAAATGAGTTTTGTCTCCATGCTCTTTTTTTTAAGCTCCATTCTCTTCTTTTTCCCCCTATTTTTTTTTATTAAGGTATTATATGTGTACATATTTTATTTACCATTGCCCCCCCCACTCCCATACAAGCCCTCATCCTCCAGTGTTTTGCATCCATTGCTTATGCTTATATGCATGCATACAAGACCTTTGGTTGATCTCTTATCTCCCCCACGTCTCCCTAACCTTCCTGCTATAATTTGACAGTCTGATGCTTTACTGCCTCTATATCTATCTTTTCTGTTCATCAGTTTATAATGTTCTTTATTATCCACAAATGAGTGAGATCATGTGCTATTCTTCTTTCATTGACTGGCTTATTTCACTTAGCATAATATTCTCCAGTTCCATCCAGGTTTCTGCAAATGGTAAGAATTCCTTCTTTTTTTATGGCAGCATAGTATTCCATTGTGTAGATGTACCATAGTTTTCTGATCCAGTCATCTGGTGATGGGCACCTAGGCTATTTCACGATCCACAGGTTGAGAACCATAGCAGGGTCACATAAGGCCATTGGAAAACACTAATATTTACATTACGATTCATAAGAGTAGAAAAATTATAGTTATGAAGTAGCAACAAAAATAATTTTAAGGTTGGGGGTCACCACAACATGAGGAACTGTATTAAAGGGTTGTGGCATTAGAAAGGTTGAGAACCACTGCTTTGGGGAATCCTCCTGGCTAGTTTCTGGTTTTAGGAACCTGCTAAGGAATGAGGTAGTTCTACACTGTGGCATTTCTAAGGTCCCCAAGGGCAATGAAGAAGGACCAGGATTTCTGTGTCCTGGAAGCAGGTTTTTCCCAAACCCAACCGAGACCCACTGAGTTCTGACCAGGGACCAGAGTCCCCAAGGAGTTTGAGCCAAATTGGCAGCAAGTCTTCTCTTAGACCCATAATTGTTATTCTGTGGTGGTATTTTCTGTGTGTCTATCACAAGGGAACTCCAACACTATAAAACAAAGTTTCTGTCCTCAAGAAGCTTTCATTGGAGAGAAGAGATATGTGACTTGGTTTTTTGCTTTCCTCTTGGCGAAACTAAAACACTTTTCTTATATCATTCAAATTACCACTAATCCCATTTCCCTCTTGAACTCGGAGAAAAGATTCTTTTTTTTTTTTTTAATATATTTTATTGACTTTTTATAGAGAGGAAGGGAGAGGGATAGAAAGCTAGAAACTTTGATGAGAGAGAAACATCGATCAGCTGCCTCCTGCACACCCACCACTGGGAATGTGCCCGCAACCAAGGTACTTGCCCTTGACCGGAATCGAACCTGGGACCCTTGAGTCCAAAGGCCGACGCTCTATCCTCTGAGCCAAACCGGTTTTGGCGGAGAAAAGATTCTTGTACCAATCCCCAAATTTTCTCAATCAAGTCCCACTCACTTTCCACAGAGTCATGCAACCATCACTGGACACTATCACTGCTTGTCAGTTACATTTTACATGGAGCCCATGGAGCTGTAGCAACTGGGAATGTATGTGTGAGGAGTAGCATGCTGTGCAGAGGGGTGGATGGACTTAGAAGACAACACATGTCATATCAATAGTATATGGACAGACACTACTTAGCCTTGGAATCGACAGTGGGTGTGATCCTTGCTTCCTGGACTACGACCTCGGATGCTGGACAAGGAAACACTCAATCAGAACAACCAGACTACAAGCCTTACTAATTCAACATGTGGTTGGGTTATGAGATTGGGGGGATTCTACCATGCGCCTGATTTATCCTCATAGAGCCGAGACTACCATCTGCACCCAGGATGCTGATACTGATGAAACCATATAAAGGAAGTATCGGTTACTTCCTTGGATGGGAACTGTATTCTATACTGAGCTCTCACATGCTATGTCCTCTGGCCATGTGAGCAGTGATCTGAAGGAAGATCAGATTCCTAATGCAGAAAGTAGGTTAGTTCTCACAGTGGAAGCTGGATTCCTCAGTGGGCCCAATGGATTTGAGAGTAAAGTCTGGATGTGCTTGACCCAGAGCTACAGGCCTGCTTTGAGGACAGTAAAACCCAGACCAGAAGGCAGCAACCACTTGGAGATGAAGGGACACGGGAGGACATAAGAAAGCAACAACAACAGCAACAAAACACATAATCCACCAGAATGGAGTCAGTGACATTTCCCTGGTTTTGGCTTTTGGGAAATAATATAGGAATTGAGAGAGCTTGACTATATGGTTCTATATCCCTTTTGTGAACTTACATTTTTAAAAAGTATGTTTAATGTATGTCTTTAGAATTGGTCAATGAATGAACTTCGATTTTTTTAATAGCCGAGTTTCTTAAAACCATGAGTCATTGAGGCCTTGTCATCAGAGGTAGGCTTAAACACGTGACAAAGACTTGATCGTAGATAGGGAGGCTGCAGAGTTTTTGTCTCCAAAATAATCAAGCAAGGAAACACCCAGGAGGCACAGGGCCAACCACCCTCCTAGAAGCTGGTGGGGCTGGAAGATGCGGAGGCCCAGTCTGTGGGCAGCAGCATGCCTTCTGTGTGGCTCACCTGTCTTTTCCTCCTTCGGGCATGACACCAGGTAAGCTGGCATCAAAGTCAAGAGCCTGGCCCTGGGAACTTGGTGTTTTATCTCAGGATGATCTCAGTGCTTCCATTTGCTTCTTCTGGCACCCAGAGTCCAGGGTGCAATGGGGCCAGTGGTAAGAAATGAGGGCAGCCCTACCTCGTCTAGCTCAGTGGATAGAGTGTTGGCCTGTGGACTCAGGGATTCCAGGTTCAAGTCCGGTCAAGGGCAAGTACCTTGGTTGCAGGCACATTCCCAATAGGGGGTGTGCAGGAGGCAGCTGATCGATGTTTCTCTCTCATCAATGTTTCTAACTCTCTCTCCCTCTCCCTTCCTTTCTAAAGAAAAAAAAAATCAATAAAATATATTTATTTTTAAAAAGAAAATAAATAAAGAAGCCCAAACTGGTTTGGCTCAGTGGATAGAGCGTCGGCCTGTGGACTGAAAGGTCCCAAGTTCGATTCCAGTAAAGGTCATGCACCTTGGTTGTGGGCACATTCCCAGTAGGGGGTATGGAAGAGGCAGCTGATCAATGATTCTCTCTCATTGATGTTTCTAACTCTCTATACCTCTCTCTTCCTCTCTATAAAAAAAATCAATAAAATACATTTAAAAAAAAATGAGGGCAGATTTCCCCAGGCTCAGCTTCCTTTCTAAGCCCTGCTGGCCAGAAGCACATTGACGTCACTCCTTCCCTGGAGAGAGGAGCCTGACTCCCCCCTTGGCTTTGTACACCCTCCGCTGGGAGCACCTCCTCTGTAAAACGGGCATACTATAGTGATAGGGGAAGGGGCACGTGGTAAGAACAGGAACACAGTTGTTTAATGACGACTCAGCTTACTAACTATAGATAAGAGGTTTCTGACAGACTCTGGGAAACCCGAGGATGTGCTATACAAGGAAATGCATTTTAAAAGCCGATCAAGGACAGGACTCTTTGTGATTTGGCTTGGTGTGCCTGAACTCTCGCCCCATCTGGGAGTTTTCCTCCGGAACGCTGACAATATATTCTCAGGTTCCGGGAACAGGCTGAGCTGTTTGTAACAACACAGAAGATTAGTCAACTTGTTATCCGACTTGTAACTCCTGAAGGCCGGACTGCAGACCCTCCCCTTCCCTCCCACTGTTACATTTGTAGCTCAAGGCTGCACCTAGTTATCTCTGTCCTTGCCCAAATGTAATCCGCCAACTGGCGAGGGGAGTAACAGATTTTCGGACTGCTCCCTCATGTTGCCGGCATTATTGGAATAAATGCTCAGATATGAATCCAGCCCGTGTCTGCTCAATTTGGCTCAAGTAGTGACAGGCGGCCTTGAGCCAGTTGTGTCAGCACCTCCCCTCTCCTAGGGGAGGTTCTCAAAGTGGGACCCCTGACCAGCAACAGCAGCATCGATGGGAACTTGTCAGAAAAACCAATTCAGGAACCCCTCCCAGACCCCCTGGAACAGAAACTCAGGTAAAGGGCGTCTGGAATCTGTCCTCCCAGGTCCTCAGGTGAAGGATGCACACGGAAGTCTGTGAACCTCGCCGTGGGGGCGCTGTGAACAGGGCCTGGAGGAGCATGTGTGTCAGGCCCAGAGCTGCGCCTGGCGCCTGGTATTTAGCTGTTAGAACCACCGTCTCCATCACAGGACACTTGATAGTAATGCTGGGATTCCCTGTGGCTCCAGGAGCCCGCGGATGGAGCCGCCTCTCCTGGGAACAAGCCGCTGGCTCCTGTAGACGGGAGCCGCTTCCCTGACAGCGCCCAGCGCTTCTCTGCCTTGACCACTTACTATGCGGAGGGCATCAGGGGGGACACGCAGGAACCGACATTAATTAACGGGGATGGTTATACACTAAGGAGATGCGCAGAGACCAGACCAGAACTGTCTCAGGAAGGGTGGGTATGTAATGCTTTTCCTAGGAGATGCAAAGACCATGGGAGAGGTGGATGTGGGGAAGGAGAGATAATAAAAACTGCAGGGGGGAAGTCTTTTTTCTTTTTCTTTCTAACTTTATTGATTTGAGAGAAACATCAACTTGTTGTTACATTTATTCAAGCATTCAAATATTGGTTGACTCTTGTATGTGCCCTGACCAGGGATCAAACCCACAACCTTGGTGCATCAGTACAATGCTCCAACCCACTGAGCTACCCAGGGAGAGACTTGGAAGTCTTGAAACTTTAAAAAAAAAAAAAAAAAAAAAAAAAACCTGTTAAACTTTCCACTAATAGCTGAGTTGAGGCATGAAATGCTGGCTGTGCTCAGGCCCCTGAGCAAATAAGTTAGAGTGTAGGAAGATCACATGGAATTTAGTGCCTCGCTGTCCTGGCATGTTAACATCAAAGTTTTGACCAATCTTGACAAGAAATTGATTTTTACTTATCCTCTGTGTAGTTGGCTCACAAATGGACCCCAAAGACATTGGGTCTTAATTCTTGGAACCTGTAAATGTTCACTATGTGGCAAAGATTCTGCAAATGGGATCAGATTAAGGACCCTGGCAGGAGAGGGTACGGGGGGCTATCTGGGTGGGCTCTAAGTGGACTCATAGGTGGTTTTATAAGGAAATGGGGGGAGTTTGACACAGACAGAAAAGGAGAGGACACCATGACCACAGAGGCAGAGATTGGAATGGTGTGGCCACAAGTCACAGAGTGCTGGGAGCCACCAGGTCTTTAGCCCAAGTGATGCCTATTTTGGACTTCCACCCTCCATAACTATGAGAGAATAAATGCCTGTCGTGTGAAGCCATCGAGTTTGTTGGAATTTGTCACAGTGACCATAGGAAACTGATATACCTTATTTCACAAGGTCTTTTTCAGATTGGAGGAAAAGATCCTCTGGCATCCAAAGAAGAGTTTGTGGATTATAGTCTTAGGAGTGAAGAGAAATCCCTCTAGGTCAGTGCCTTGGTTATCTACTGCACCAAAAGGCTTTGTCATATCCCATCTACATACCAGTATATAAAAGGCATATATATATATATATATATGGATAAGCAACCAGCTAACTGGCCAGTAGCTATGATGCACACTGACCACCAGGGGGTAGAAGCTCATCAAAGAAGCTGCTGAGCTACAGCAACTCTCACACTCTGGGACCCCTTGGGGGATGTCAGACTGCAGGTTTTGTCCTGATCCCTGCAGGCCAGGATGAGGGACCCCACAGGTACATAAATCCATGCACTGGGCCTCTAGTTTAAAATATATCAGTCATGGCTGTACTCATTTACTGTAAAATCAAGATTAGTATAATTAATATCAGGTTTTAAAATGGAAAGGCTAAGCTTTAAACAAGCCATTGGTAAAGATACATGTATGATTTAAATGCACAAAGTACAAGAGAGGACAATGAGCACAAAGTAAGAGTTTAATTAATTCTTGTTGAGTGATTTACTTAACGAATTGACTATTTAACCCCGTAGAAAAAAGCAAGATTACAGTAGTTCAGAAAAGTAAGTTATTTTATAAGTGACTTCATATGAACATCTAATTATAACAGGCTCTTGTCCATAAAAATATAAGTGGTAATAAGTAATAAGCTACTTTACAAGTGGATTGTTTTCTGGACAATGTTTTATATATATATAAATATATATATATATATATATATATATATATATATAGACTTCATAGAGGACAGGTGAGGGAGAGAGAGATAGAAACATCAATGATAAGAGTAAATCATTAATTGGCTGCCTCCTGCATGCCCCCTACTGGGGAATGAGCCCACAATCAGGGCATATACCTTTGACTGGAATTGAACTGGGAACTCTTCTGTCTACACGCTGACACTCTATCCACTGAGCCAAACCAGCTAGGGCTCTGGATAATGTTTTTTTGATAATTATCAGGAGGAAAGGGGTTGGGGGGTGCAGGAAGAGACTGGACTAAAATCGTACACCTATAGATGAGGACAATGTGTGGGGGGATAAAGGGAGAGGGTGGGGTGGGAACCAGGTGGAAGGGAACTATGGGGACGAAAAGGAGAAACAATTGTAATAATCTGAGCAATAAAGATTTATTAAATTAATAATAATAATAATAATAATAATAATAAAGAGTAAGTCTTGGCTTAGTGAATTTCAACAAATTGAAAAGGGAGGTTATAACGGGGAAAGTTTTAAGTGGCCTCATGGTCTTGAATACTGCCATACTAGATTTGTTCACAACCCTATGGTTAAAAACTTCCAGAGATGAGGTAAAGAATTAGATCCTGTCTTCCTAGTGAGCAAAAGTAATCTATTCAGCTGCACACAAGAAGATACTTTCACAGACACTGCATTTTAAATGGGAATCCGGAAGTCCTGCCAACTGCATTTTATCAAAGGCAGGCTAAGGTTTGGTTGCTTGATTAAAACGTGACCATTTTAATAATTAGTACTCATCAAAGTTATGTGGCAATGGACATGGGAATAGAAGAAGAAAAGGAACACTATAGTTAGTAACAACCCATTTCTGTAATGCATTACCTAGCTGATTACGTATAAATCGATTTGGAGTAGTACCTTCCACTCACTTGCCTTAATGACTTTCTCCTGTATTTCTCCTGATTTAGGTATTTCTTGATTTGACTTTAGGCTTTTGAGCATATTTGCAGTAAAGAAAGTCCCTTTTTTGTTTCACTATGTTTGTATCTCATCCCATTAACAAAGGGGATGCCATTCTTTGGAGCGGCACCCGCCACACAGCCTACGGGGAGGCCATTGCCTAAGGTGCGGGTGTTGGTGCAGTAGCAGGTTTTTCCACCCTGTGCAATCTTATGGGGCTGTGGCCCAAGGGAACTGTAAAGCCCACGTGTGAGAATAACTTGGATTTCTTGTGATGGACTGAGTAAACAAAAGAACAGTGGCTAGGTTTCATATGACTACAGTGCTCTGATCTCTAGAAGAAACCTCCGCAGCATCCACCTCAAACCAGTCAGAACCTCCTGAGTGGCTACCAATCTCTTTTTGCCTCCACTTCCCACCTAGGACAAAGCAGAGAGATCCAAATATTCTCCCCAAACCACTCTCAGAAGATGCTCCACAAAGCAGAGAGATCCAAATATTCTCCCCAAACCACTCTCAGAAGATGCCTCGTTGTTCCTCCTACATCTTCCGCAAGACAGCAGCCTTTAATCGGGTCTTAGGGAAGCTTCCTTGTTTTTTTTTATTATAAAGCTTCTCCTCACCCCCCAACTGGCTTTGAATTGTCTCCCTTGTTTTCATGTGGGCGGACTTCCACTAGTGTTGACTGCCTTGATTAAATTTTTTTTAAAAAGAAAAAAACAACTCCAGCCATATGCAAAACATGGTACTTTGTAACCACTTCAGAACTTTCGCTCCCAATAGTGTTTGATAGGAAAGGGATTCTACTTTAAAGGACATAAAGTGAAAATTTTAATAAATTAGTTTTCAAAGTACTTATTTATTTGTGCTTCTGCAGTCTCTCAATTGAATTTACAAACTGACATGCACTATGACTCCAGATAATAATAAAGATAAGCCTAGATAAAAGAGTTTAGGGAAGGGACAAGGGATGTTTATTTTCTTTTTTTTCACTTTCATTTTTTTATTAAGATACTGTATGTGTACATATCTTACCAATCCCCCCCCCACTCCCATACATGCCTTCCCTTTCCAGAGTTTTGCGACCATTGGTTATGCTTATATGCATGCATACAAGTCCTTCAGTTGATCTATTATCTCCCCCAGATCTCCCTACCCTCCCCACTATAATTTGACAGTCTGTTTGTTGCTTTACTGTCTCTGTATCTATCTTTTTGTTCATCAGTTTATAATGTTCCTTATTATCCATAAATGAGTGAGATCATGTGGTGTTTTTCTTTCATTGACTGACTTATTTCACTAAGCATAATGTTCTCCAATTTATCCAGGTTGCTGAGAATTCCTTCTTTTTTGTGGCAGCATAGTATTCTATTGTGTAAATGTACCATAGTTTTTTGATCCAATCATCTGCTGGCGGGCATCTAGGCTGTTTCCAAATCCTAGCTATTGCAAATTGTGCTGCTATGAACATAGGGGTGCATATATCCTTTCTGATTGGTGTTTCTAGTTTCTTGGGATATATTCCTAGAAGTGGGATCACTGGGTAAATGGGAGTTCCATTTTCAGTTTTTTGAGGAAGCTCCATACTGTTCTCCACAGTGGTTGCACCAGTCTGCATTCCCACCAGCAGTGCACGAGGGTTCCTTTTCCTCTGCAACCTCGCCAACACTTGTCATTTTTTTGATTTGTTGATGATAGACATTCTGACAGGTGTCATTTTGATTTGCATC